TCACGTCGCACTCTGCTGCGAACCTTTCTAGGGAGCACTGTAGATCAGTTTCAGAAGATGCAATAAAACAAGGTCGTCTGCAAACAGCAGCCTTCTCGTCTTCATATCTGCTATACCGATACACTCATCGCCTTGGCTGTTCCTGACTATTCTCTCCATGTAAAACACAAACAGGAGACGGGGCAGGACCCAGCCTTGGCGGAGACCGGTGCCAACATTGAAGGGTTTCGACTTTACGCCATTTACTCTGACGCAGCACCCTCTATCGGAATACACTGATTGGATGGCTCTTACCAGCCGGCCATGTATGCCAAAAGCTCGCGGGCATAACCACAGACTGTTGCATTGGATCCGGTCGCAGGTGTTTTTTAGGTCAACAAAGCGCTTGTACACCTGACGTACTCCCACGATTTCTGAACAATCTGGCGCAGGGCAAATATATGGTCAGAGGTGCTTCGAACGGGCTGGAAGCCACATTTCTTTTCTTTTATGTTGGAGGCAGTTATTTCGCGGCGCATCCTTTCTAGCACCTTTGCATAAGTTTTACCTTGAAGGCCCAACAACGTAATGCCCCAATAATTGGAGCACTCCCTGTGGTCTCCCTTCTTCAATAGGGATACAACAACTGCCGTTCTCCAATCCTCGGGTGTCTTACCCGTTGTTATGGCACTTTGACAGACACGTGTAAGTCAGCACACGTTTGTTCGCCAAATGCCTTGAACGTTTCAGAATGGATTTCATCAATTCCAGCAGTACTTCCATTTTTCAAGCTTTTCACAGCATGTGTAATTTCATCTGCATACATTGTAATATCCGTTGCCTGCTGCTCTACGAGCGAGTCTTCCTGCGGTTGCTCCAGATTAAGCAGTTCCTCAAAGTACTCTCTCCATCGGTAATGTCCTCATCCTTGGTAAAAGGGTGTCAAGATCCGTCCTTCAAGACTCTGCGACTGCCCTTCTTTTCACCTCGGAGCCGGCGGATGGTCTGCCAGAATACTTTGTTTGCCGTGTGGAAATTCGACTCAGACACCTCACCGAATTTCTTCCAGGAATCAGCTTTGGATTTTGCCACTGCTTTCACTGCCTCCTTGCACGTCCCGACATATCGCACGCCAGTAGACGGCTCTTTGTTTGCAAGCCATTTCTTGAACGTTGCTTTCTGCTCTTTAACTGCCAGTTGGACTTCTCATGTCCACCATGAAGATCTTTTCTGATCTCCTGGCGGCAGGCCAACCCGTTCAAGTCGGCAGCATTCAGCGGCAGCGTCGAGTATGCTGCTGTAGAAGAGCTGCCACTCAGTTTCCACATCAGTTGTCATCACCGGGTTCTGTTCAAACCGTCGTGCGATGTTGTTTGCAAATTTCGCTCTCGTGTCCACCGAAGATAGTGTTTCCCACTTGATTCGCTGGTTGCTGCTGCTTCCAGATCTTCATATGGTACTCCATTTTTTACAGCGCAGCGTGCCAACAACAAGGTGGTGATCGGCTGATAGCTCTGCGCCTTTCTTAATACGAGCATCCATTATTGAGCGTCGTAGGTCAGACGATACGATTATCAAATCGATTATCGACTTCTGTACACAAGCTTACCGGTACCAGGGATGCTGATGCACTCTTCGATAATCGAAGAGTGTGTTCGAAGCTTCCGTTACCAAGTATATTGATGCATGCTTCGATTCTCTGAAATGGTGTTCCTAATAGACAGTCCATTGATTGCACAAAACCGTAACAACTTCATTCCGTTATTGCTGAGGTCGTTAGAGCCGTTTTTTCAAATCACGCCGTTCCACTTTTCAGCGTCTACTCCGACATGCGCATTAGAATCGTCCATGAGTATGACGGACTCTGTATTCAGCACTATGGACAAAGCACAATGCACTTCCTCAAGGAAGGTGTCATATTTTCCCTCCAAATTGAGCGCACAGACCTGTACTAAGATGAACGCCTTCGTCGGTTGTAGCGTCAGTGAGAGGATTTCCATACTTCCGCT